CTTCTCCAGATGGGACCAACATGTCAAGAGGTTGCAGTAATTGTTTGGTTCTTCAGTTCTTAGGATTTTACAAAAATATATTGGTTGGCATACTCTATCCATAACTTAGCTATATAACCATCCTCTCCATCCTCTTCCATGAATGATTTATTCTAGAACATAAAGAGGAGGTTCATCTCAGGGTTCCAACTCAAGAACACATTAGTCAATATACTTTCAATCAACTGAGTAACAAGCATCCCTCCCTCTCCACCAGTGGTTTAATTAAAAAATGGAATTTATGTTGACAAATAAGCATGCAAGGAGTAATACTAATAATTAATCATCCCATAAAAGATGGCTTAGGATGAGCTAATGCTTCCACATCGCACTGCAAACATACCCAAGTAGAAGGAAGAAGCCTCGAGAGGCATTCAGCTACCGTTTCTGTCCATATACCTAGGAACAGAGGAAGCTGTGCTATACTGAATTGCAAAATAGAGATCTAGCTAGGCTGATATTTCCAGATCTGACTGGCAGAAGGGGATCTCCTAGGCAAGATCCTTTCTTAAGCCTACATGGTGGTCCCACATCCAAGCATTAACCAAGGCTGACCATGCTTTGCTTCTGGAGACAAATGAGAGCAGGTGTGTTCAGGGAGGGATAGTAGCCATGCTGGCTGGGATTCCTGGGAGCTGCAGTCCAAGGGATGCTTCAGTAACATAAAGGGATGCTTAGTACATGCTTGTTATTTCTTTGAAGAAAGAGAAATCACCCTTGCTCTGAAACACAAACTAGGGCTGAATCCACACTGTAAAAATAATCCATTCTGACATCACTTTTTAATTGCCATGGATCCATGCTATGGAACTCTAGGAACTGTAGTTTTGTGAGACATTTAGCAATTTGAGGAAACTCTTTGGAACAACAGTTTCCACAATGCAGAAAATTAGGTGGCTGGAGATGGAGGGACAACAGGAAGAGGCAAGTTATAAAAACAGCATCTGTCACAATTATCTTGATGAAGTCCTGAGGCAGTTGGGGACCAAGTCTTCCATGCTTTTTAGATTATTAGTTCTTATCTAAATAGCGCCCTCTGACTTTATTGGGTGCAGACAGATAACGATTTGCAAATAAATAACACAGGGAGGGACTTCTAATGCAACCGTTGCAAGACATCAGGTTAGCCATTTTATAACACATTTTTAGTTGGGGAGAAGACACACAAAGAGACAGACCATTTGTATATTTCCAGAGGGTGTTACTTCCAACCTGCTTGGATGATCATCATCCAAAGGTTTCAAAAGTTGAGTTCTGATCTTCACTCGAAAGAAAACAGGTGAAATGCAGAGACTGGTGCTGCTGATACAAACAGCATCTCATGAATGAAACCAGAGAAGCTTTTGCAAGCAAGGTCACTCAAGGGAAAGGTGGCAGCTCAGTCATGGCAATGGAGACAGAGATTCTCCAAAGCCCTAGATTCCAAGTAAGGGAGAGAAATAACCTAAATGGAAGAAAAGCATAACCAGCAGCAGTTCATAGCTCCCATGCCAATGGTCCAGTGAAGGGAGCTCTCCAAAGTCCTGAAAAGTATTTGGGAACCAAGTTCAGCACTTTGGACAGTAGACTCATCAGCCTCTGCTGCCTGAGCTGAAAAGGGCTGGCAAGTTTCCATCAGAAATCCAATTGCTTTCAGAGAGCTGTTATCATGTGCAATATGTACATGGAATATGATGTTCTGGGGATCACCAGGGGCTTTTGCCTCAGTCAAAAGACAGAAATGGAAAAAAGGGCCATAAAGGTTCCCTTGCAGGGGCCAGTTAGTATCGGAAGACAGGTATCGCGTGGGCAGTAAGCAATTAAGGTCTAATCTGCACAAACATTTCAGCCTCGAAGTAAGTCCAATGTGCACAGAAGTCAGGAGGGCCAGTTGTCTGGGGGAGTGTTTATGGCTCTGGAAAGACCTTTAAACAAACATCAGGAGCTGGGGAATTGTAGCATAATCACAGGGTCAATACCCATTGATGATTCTTCCACCAACTGGAGACATTATTCGGAGGTTTCTGTGTATTTCATGCTCACTGGTGGGTTCAAGGGGGCAGTTAATCCAGGTGAGATTTTAGCTTCAGAGGAGCTAAGATTCTGGAGCTCTCCAATGTACTCAATTAAAACAGATACTTGTACTCCCCCATCACAGAAGAAACCAATACTTGTTCTCCTCCATCACAGAAGAACATTCTCTCCTTCCTTCCTTCCTTCCTTCCTTCCTTCCTTCCTTCCTTCCTTCCTTCCTTCCTTCCTTCCTTCCTTCCTTCCTTCCTGCCTTCCTTCCTTCCTCTCTCTCTTTGCAAAATCCAAAGATCCTAGTAATGATCAACAATTCCCCCCCCAAGTCCATATTGTAGTAATTGCCTTTAGATGCACCCTAAACTACATCTGCAATGCAATGCAGCTATAACTTCTTTATTGGTTAAGAGGAACTGCTTACAAATAACTAGCTACAAGGAACTGGTTAACTTATGCATGACTAGTTCCTTCCAAGCTCTGCAGATTGCATGTCTTAGGAGCTGCATTGGCTGCTGCTTTGCTTCCAAGCCAAATTCAAAGTGCTAATATTTACCCTCAAAGCCAGCAAGCCAAGAACCTGAAACTGAGAGAGAAAGGGGGATTATTATCATGTATTCTGGTTGGAAAGGAATCAATTCCAAATATATCTAGAGCTGCTAGGTACAGGAACAGAATGTACTATTATCCCGACTGTGGCCAAGCTAGGAGCCTTTTCTCTTGGCAACTGTTGAGAATATATTCTCTTTTAAAAAGAAGGAAAAAAAATCCCCTTGTATTCTCTCTCCTTCCTTGCATATAGCATGTCTTCTTCCAGGTTCTTCTCCTAGGATGGACAGATGGAGTGGTCCAGTTTTGCCATCTGAAGACCACTGTTGTTTTTGTGTGCCTTCAAGTCATCTCCAACTTATGGCGGCCTGATCACAGGGTTTTCTTGGCAAGATTTAATTAGAACTGTTGTTGTTACAAGTTGACTCTGACTTGCGGCAACCTTCCCTAGGGTTCCCTTGGCAAAATTTATTCAGAGGAAGTTTTGCCAGTGTCTTCCTCTCAGACTGAGAGAGTGTGCCTTGCCCAAGGTCACCCTTCAGCACATTTCTGTTGTTGGTTGTTGTGTGTGTCTTCAAGTCGTTTCCAACTTATGGTGACCCTAAGGGTTTTCTTTGCAAGATTTGTTCAGAAGGGGTTTTGCCAGTGCCTCCCTCCGAAGCTGAGAGTGTGCGACTCACCCAAGGTCACTCAGTGGGTTTCCATGACCAAGCGGGGATTCAAACCCTGCTCTCTAGGGCCATAGTCCAATGCTCAAACCACCACACCACTCTGGCTCATGTATTACTGTTGTTGTGTGCCTTCTAGTCATTTCCAACTTATGGTGATACAAAGGCGAAGCTATCACAGGGGTCACTTGGCAAGTTTCTTCAGAGGGGGGTTGCCAATGCCATCCCCTGAGGCTGAGAGAGTGTGACTTAGACAAGTCGCCCAGTGGGTTTCTATGACCAAGCTGGGATTCAAACCTCAAGGATCACAGTTCAGTGCTCAAACCACTACACCACGCTGGCTCCCGCCATGCAAATATCATAGTCTCATAGGTTTTAACAGCGGAAAAAAAGAATGTAGCCTTTTCCATGATGGAGGCTCAGAGGTGAAAATGCCCCCTGACCACATGCAATTGTCCATCCTTGTTTTAGCCTGTGGTGGTTCTTTGGGATTCATCCGTGAAAAGCCTAAGGATGGAAAATGATAGAAAAATACTGAATGCTGCACAAAGCGATAGTTTTCTCCTCAGTCTAGTAGCCAGGGGAAATGGTTCCCAAAACCCAGCACATCCCATCACTCTGGTCCCCAGCTCCTTGCACCCAAAACATGTTGCTCTGTGTGGCTAAATCAAAACCTTCATTCGGATCCTGCAAGGAAGGGGTCTTTCTCGGCTCTCCAAGCCTGCAAAGTGCTCACATCGCCGTGGTGATTATTGTAATACATCAAATTTAATTAGCCATTTTAGGAAAGCTTTCAATGCATCAATTACCATCAAAGACAAGCAGCAACCTTTCATGATGGTAACTGTCGAATATATATATATATATATATATATATATGGAGAGAGAGAGAGAGAGGCAAGAGAGATGAACAGCAGGATATGTATTATGTAGGGAGGGGAAGTAATCCCCATTTCTCAGTCAACATCAGTTGACCTCAGAAAGGGTCAACTTTTCCCCCCTGAAATATGGGGGCTAGCCCCATTTTACCCATAGAACTGTCCTTTCTTTTTGTCATCTGGTTGCTTCAGTTTTCCTTGAAGAATAACTTGAGTGGTGCCTTTGCTTTTGCTAATATTTCTCATCATAGAATTATGGCTTGAATCGCTGCTCAGCCACAGAAACCCACTGGGTGGCCTTGAAGAGAGTCACACTCTCTCAGAGAAGGCAATAGCAAACCTCCGAATAAAATTTGAGAGCCAATATGGTGTAGCAATGTGAGTGGTGGACTTGGACTCTGGGAGACCAGGGTTCAAGTCCTTGCTCAGCCATGAAAACCCACTAAGTTATTACTTTGGGCAAGTCACGTTCTCTCATCTGCAAAGGAAAGCCATGGTAAACCAGGGGAAAGAGCCATTTGTGGTTTGAATGTTGGTCTAAGTCTCTGGGAAACCAGGGTTCAAATCCCTCTTCAGCCATGGAAACCGACTGGGTGACCTTGGGAAAGTCACACTCTCTCAGCCTCAGAGGAAGGCAACGACAAATCTCTGAATACACTTGGACAAAGAAAACTCTAAGAAAGAATTGTTATAAGTTGGAAATGAATTGAAGACACACAACAGCAACAACGTTTAGTCTAGTTTGCATAGTGTTGTGCCTTTAATTCATTTCCAACTTATGGTGACCCAAAGGGGAACCTATCACAGGGTTTGCTGGGGATGAGAATATGTGACTTGTTCAAGGTAATCAAGTGGGTTTCCATGGCTGAGAGGGGATTTGAACCCTGATCTCCAGAGTCGTAGTCCAATGCTCAAGCCACTATACTACGCTGGCTCTCAAGTTTACAAATGCCTAGCTAATTTTTCTGCATCTCTAAGAGGACACCTTAACACCACCTCCTTCCCCTCCCCATAAAAAAAATCCCAGGCAAAAATCATGCAGTCCTTGAGCATTTGGACAATCTGAAAAGGGATCCACAAATGCATCATAAGTCCCCATCTTGGATATATGGAAATAATTGGGATGGAAATTGGGTTGAGCACCAGAGATGGGAGCATTTGAGAATAGCAATAACAGGGCAGAGGTGATGGACGACGGCTTCTAACTCACACCCAGGAGGCCTAATTCTGATCCGCATATTTCTTTCGGTGAAGTACACAACAACAAGCAATTATTCTTCTCCCTCCCAGACAAACTTTGGAAATTCAGTGCATATACAGAACATATAATCAGGTTAATGTTCTCCCCAGGAATTAAAATGGGTGCGAGGGTGGATTCAATTTTCGGAGGCGGTTGAGGGATTAAAGACTGGACTCAGATGGACTCAGAATATTTGTGTCTTTTTTAAAAAAAAGAAAACATGTTCCAACTCCCTAAACATTTAATTAGATTTAACATGTATTTTTATGAAACCTGGCTACATTCCTTTTTTTAAAAAAAAAAATTATTTTACAAAGTTGGTAGTTTCTGTTTAATTAAATCCAAGAACCCAAGCCATTCCTTTGCGAGAATGACTTGTCTCTCCAGGAGCCTCTAATCCTTTAGAAATATATAGATCTTAATTTTAGTTTGCTCACATCTTCAGGCAGGAGGGGTTATCTTTCAGGACGTAAGTAGGATATCACATTCTTCTCAGAATAGGAGTGGAATAATGAATTCTCTTTGCGATGAGGAAAGATTCATGCCGATCCGCTCAGAAGGAGTGAGGGGTGAATTCTAAGTTGGTTCGCTTTGAAAAGCATAGCAACAGGAAGGGCTCCAAGGCAGGGAGAAAATATTTGCCTAGAAAATAACAAGACAGGTTGACCTTGGGAGACAGGGACCCTTCTAAGAATTCCTATAGAGTTGGATGGCTTCCATGTCAGCATTGGAGTAAATCTGCTCTCAGGAGTTTATGTGGTTCTTGGTGTTAACTGCCTGCAAGTCAACCTCGATCCATGGTGACCCTCTGGATCTCCAAGAGCAGGGGTAGGCAACCTTTCCCCTTTAAGGGCTGAGGGA